AGAGACGATGACGCCGGCTTCCTCAAGGGCGGCGATCTTCGACTTCGCGTCGCCCTTGCCTCCGGCGATAATGGCGCCCGCGTGACCCATTCTACGGCCCGGCGGCGCAGTCACGCCAGCTATGAACGACACCACGGGTTTCTTATTGGGTCCCTGGAAGAAAAGATGTGAAGGGTGTTAGTCGAACTCACCACATGAGTGATTACAAGCACTGAAAAGGAGAGGAGCTAGCGAAGCTAACTCAACCACCCAGGTCGCCTAAAGCGTAATGTCCTCATTCAAGACGTTGGCTGGGCACAACAAGGCCTCTTTCAAGGGCAAAACACGAGGTCAGATTATTTATTCATGACAACACGTGCATTACTTCCGAGACGTTCTACTCACAGCGCTTCAAGAATGTGTCAATGCAGGAGCTCCAAAGTCAAATTTTGCTTAAACAACCCCGAGTTAAAAGGGTCAAATAGATTTTTTCCTCAGAGAATCTACAACATCGCGTTGCTTGCTGTGGATCACTGCTTCCACGATAATGTGAAATATAACTCGCAGATGGGCTTTTTGCTGGTGCTGGAAAGAGTAACTTCCACACCATTGTTAAAAAACGGCTATTTTGGATCAGCCGACGAGGGGGACCACTCAAACAATCACGGAAAGGGCTTCATCCAAGAAAAGTCATGTTAAGTTCATGGTAGAATGCTGGAGCTCTTGACTAATCATGGATCCTTCTTTGCCTCCTTGAGAAGATTAGCTGTGGGAAAGGAGCCCCATTCACTAAACTCTCTCGAGCTTGCGACTCCTCGTTATCATGTTTCGTGAACTACAAAATCACCTAGAATGTCGTTGCTTGACATCAGGATAATAAAAACGATCAAATTTCGTATATTGCTCAAAAGTCTAAGCAACAGAACAAGCATCAAATGCACAAAATTGTTAAAATTCGAGAAATCAACGGAGGTTTGTTCATCAACAGACACATAACCTTATTCGCCGCACTTCATTTAAAATTTTGAATCGTGTAAGCAAGCAGGACTTCCACGCAATCAAGAGACATATTTTCCGGAACGGCCCAAGTCACTGTGGGTCGGGTTATTACCTAGTTTGGATACAACACCGTTTCACTAAAACCGATTTGTAGGGGGTAAAACATATCGATTCGAAATTGCAAAACGGTGATGCCCTGGCGCCGCCGCATTTCTAAAATATGCGCACTTACGTGGCAGAATCACAACGCTACATTTCCGGCAAGATGGCGTGATCGTGCAAAAGGATGAATGAGCCCCTGTCACATTTAAATGCATACGGGCATATGCTCACCAGGATAAGTGACTTGTGGTCGTTGAAATCGTAAAAATTCGGCCAACGGCCCACACATATGCGCAGGGCGCACAGAAAGCGTTAGCCGCTTTCAAGAACACTCGGTTGCATTTAGGTGATGGACCCAGTACATGGTGATTGTTAATGTCAGCAATGAAAATACATCATAGCCACATGCACGCACACACACAGCATGGTAGAACACAGATCGCACCTGGAGAAACGGCTCAAGGCATCAAACGTGACACGGCTTTGGGGACGCCGATTACGTCGATCGATGACGGAGCGCCAAAAAAGCACCCGCGCGCATGCAGCGAACAAACACACACACACATAGGTACACACCGAAACACGCTATGCAACCGCCATTAATCTCGGCTAGAGAGCACACCCTGTTTAGACACAAATGACGGTCTCTCAACACTGGCGCAGAGGATGAGGCGATGTGCATTAAAACTAGCAAGAAATGCAGGCAGCGGGGCTGCCACAAAACACGCCTTGTCAATTTTAAACAATAATCTCCGGGTATCAAGCAGCTGAGTTGGCTCACTATTGCAAGAGTACATGACGGTTGCCGACCTTGTTTTTAGACTAGCAGCATGACCTAGAACATTCGATTAAGGTGACTTAGCGGAAGATCACGCATCGCCAATGAACTCACACTGTTGTGTTGTTTCAGGTACTCAGCGGCCTCCTCCTCCGCTTGGCCGCCGATTTCGCCGATCATTATGATGCCCTCTGTGTTAGGATCGTGGAGAAAGACCTCGAGGCAATCGATAAAGTCCGTCCCGTTGAAAGGGTCGCCACCGATACCAATACAGAGCGACTGACCCAGGCCAGACTGTAAGCACATAAAGACAGAATTAGACAAAGAAGTTAAAATGTCTTAGGCTGGTACAATAGTTACCAGCGAGGTATTCTTGTGCCCCTATTACGTTGAAACAAAAAAGTAAGAAGAAAAGTACCTGGGTCGTCTGGTGCACTGCCTCGTAGGTGAGTGTACCAGATCTGGACACGATACCGATATGGCCGGGAGCGTGGCTGTGACCAGGCATGATTCCGATTTTGCAGGCCCCTGGTTTAATTATTCCAGGACAGTTTGGCCCAAGGAGACGAGACTTCGACTAAAACGAAACAGAACAGGTAAGCTGGGAAAAGCACAAAGTGTGACAGAAGATAACTGAATTCATACTTGGCGAACGAGTCGATGTTTAACATGGATCATATCGTGTTGGGGAATCCCTTCGGTAATGCACACAATAAGGGGCATCTCAGCTTCCATCGCTTCGTCGATGGCTTTGGCAGCGAATTGAGGCGGCACGTAAATCACGGTAGCGGTGGCGCCCGTTGCTTCCTTCGCTTCACCGACTGTATTAAAAACCGGGAGACCCAGATGGGTTTGGCCACCTTTGCCGGGTGAGACTCCACCGACCAGCTTGGTGCCATATTTTATGGTCTGCTCCGAGTGGAACGTGCCCTGTTTCCCGGTGAAACCTTGACATATCACCTTCGTGTCTTTGTCAAGAAGCAAATTTTTGCGGGTCGATGCATAGTTAGTCCGCTTAAACTGCGGAAACACTAAAAAAACAACTTTGCACTTGAATTACTAAAATTTTATTTATTACATATTTTAAAAGTGAGACAAAGACCTATTAACAATTAGAGCAAGGGCAACTTGGCTGCGGAGAAACAAACTGATATCAACTATCAATCACCTTGAAAGGCAAGATCAGTTAAATTTTAAGATATTTCACCAAATCTCAAAGGTCCGTGTAATTGGGAAAAAAGGCTACAATATCTGCAGTTACAGAAAAAGTAGTGCGCAGATGCATTGCAACTCCCAACCAACTTCTCCTGTGAAGCACAACCAAATTAATGCTTCAGTGTTTATGTAATCTACCAGACGCGTAGACACCAGTTAATGTCCAGGAGCA